TATATATATATCAACTGAAAAAAAGAAGATTTTTCAGCGGAGTTTGATGATGTCAAGGTATCTTCATAGACGGGTTGTAAGTACATGTACCCCCCTACAGCTAATATTAATAAACCGATTTCGTGATGGATCGTAGGAGGCGTCTTTTTCGTCGTGTTATCAATTCAGATGGCCAAGATCCTGATCCTGATCCCGAAAACCTCGAACAAAGGTCTACCGCCCTAGCAGGAGAATATTAATATGTTATATTGCTGGATATAGTGCTATTCTTTCTATCCCCCCATCTTATCTCATAGTCTATATGGGCCTATATGTTTGCTACTATATTTCTATCTCAGGTTGTCCCATATCCTTGTCTTTCTATATTCACATCTTATCCCATCCATGCCTACATGTAGACTACTCTATTTCTATCCCAGGTTGTCCCATATCCTTGTCTTTCTATCCTCCCACCTTATCTTATCTCATATCGCGTAATTCTATATTCCCACCATATCCCATATCCTTGTCTTTCAAGATATACCCCCCCCCCCCCCCACGTTATTCCATATCCGTGTCTTTCTATCCCCTCTTAATTTAGTCTAACAGTTAGTCCTAAGGTGTGGCGGGTCATTCAGTACAAGTTCAGAGTGTGTAGTGTCAGTACAGTGACATGCCAACCCTGTTTATGTGTATTGAACACACCGTTCCGTCATAGGTCTATTTATGGACCCACACGGCACGTCTCTATTGCACTTGAAGTTGAAGAGCCCAAGGGAAAACGATTTACAAACTGTAAATTGTGAGGGTATTAATTTTAAGAGCTTGTTGAGTCCTTACTGTACTTTTGTTCAAGAGTTGGTGGATAGATCTAATATTATTGTTTGACTTTCCATTCAACTAACAATAACAATAAACTATAATCAAGCACTTAATTACGGGTAATGGAGTAGCCTATGAGTCCTATGAGTCTACAAACGTTTACAGTTGATACTCTCACAATATCCAGATTATGTCTCGGCCCGTTTTACTTCTGTGCTCCTCATTGTTGTATTCACTTTTGAGTGACTTCGTTAGCTCAGATGTGGGCTACGGTTTGGGTGGCTCTGGTTCGAATCCACAATGTGACGTTTTTGAAGTTTGGTTATTTGAGAAGTTATCAAGGCTTTCCGCCACCTCGTTCTCCACCCATTTGGCCTGGTGCTGTCGGGGATGGACTTTACTTGTGCACCTTCACCCTCACCCTCCACCCAACTCTTCCTGACCTTTTACCCTTTTTTTTGTCGTAACGTTTTGAGTTTTGAAGGAGCAGTTAAAACCGTGATTAACAACATCAACGTATATATGCTAAATTTATTCTATAACAGGACCAATGACTGAAATCTTCGCCATTCACGCAAAACACAGAAGTCTAATTTTCTCGTTTGGAAACTATAAAAATGCATTTTGATTCGGTAAGGAAGCCCGCATTCTCATCATTCGACAATGAATGAAGACGCGCTGTTCTGGGGCACTTGAAAAATGAAGCATAATAACGTCCTTTCATTCATGTTGTCAATTGTGTTTTCTTTATCTGGAGCTTTTCAAGTCGGGCCATAAGAGACGTGCAATGCGTTAAAAAAATGTGTGTACGATGGTTCGAAATGTGCCATCACAACATTGTCTTTGCATTACTGCTGATCCAACATAATAGATATCTAGCTATGATTAATGATATTATGTATCCGCGAGATCTACCTGCTTATTTCTACTAGGAACATGGGCCTTAAAATTATGTTTACAACCTCTTTGGCTTGGCAGTATTCCACACAGACGCTTATGCAGTGTGCTTCCACTACATCAGTTACTTCACGTGTCGCTGGAGATGAAAGATAAGATAAGATAAGATAAGATGAGATAAGATGAGATAAGATAAGATACACTTTTATTGTATAGATCTTGACATAATATTGGTTTGGTGTTTTACCACGTACACGTATACACTGACGCGCGCGCGCGCGCGCGCGCACGCACACACACACACACACACACACACACACACACA